CAAAAAGCAATATAGCAACCTCCAACAAAGAAGAAAATTATAATAGTAAGGAAGAATGGGATGTTGAGACAGTCGTGACAATAATTGAGTAAACTCGAGAAAAGAAAATTAATTCGAGTGTAAAAGAAGAACCAATGTTGTCGGTAGTCCTACCTGAAAAATTGAATTGGGAAGATGATTAGATCAATGACTCAGGAGAGGACATCGTAGTTCATAAAAAGTCGTCTGGGTAGACTCCACAGAAGAAGGAACTACCAAACTCAGAATAAGTGTTTGAAGAAGCTTATTCTTGACTGACAGCGCAGGGGGTGGATCTACTAGATTCGAAGAAAACGGAAGACAAATTGCAAGAGCAAAATATAGAAGCACAACAATGAAACCCTGAGGAATCTAAAGATCTACAAGTGTCAATGATAAAGAAAATCTTATTAGAGCGACACAAAAATTATTCGCAAAATGGTGTGGATCAAGAAACACTAGCGAATAATCAACAGAATCAACAAGAGATTGAAATACGTCGAAGTTCACAATCAAAAATAAGAAAGTTTGATACGCATGAGAAATCAAATATCAATGATCATGATTTAGAAGTTGATGAAGAGGAAAATATGAATGGCTTAAATATATTTGAAATCACGGATGTATTGCACAAAGGATTGATCACCTCAAAACTTGTCGAGTTTAAGGCAAAATTTGGAGTCAGGAAAAAGAAAAGAGTTTTTTTGTCGAGAGAGAAATTGCATTGTATGATATCTATCTTTATAGGGTTCCAAGGTTTTAGGGATGGTAACAGGGAGGGGTCGGGGCAACCTTCCTCACCCGTTACCCGTTTAAGGCGGGGCTGGAGGGGACAGGGCGAGGCCCTTACCCCATTTACTACCTCGTTTAATTTTTTTTTTATTTTTTGATAATTTATTTTTATTGTCCATATTCATTAGATTTAGATAGATAATTTTAGTTGCTATTTTCTATTAAAACTAATGAAAATTTTCATTTAAAGTATTGAATTCTAAATTTTTTTTTTTTTATAAATATATTTGAAATCACGGATGTGTTGCACAAAGGATCAATCACCTTAAAACTTGTCGAGTTTAAGGCAAAATTTAGAGTCAGGAAAAAGAAAAGAGTCTTTTTGTCAAGAGAGAAATTGCATTGTATGATATCTATCTTTATAGGGTTCCAAGGTTTTAGGGATGGTAACAGGGAGGGGTCGGGGCAACCTTCCTCACGCGTTACCCGTTTAAGGCAGGGCTGGAGGGGACAGGGCGAGGCCCTTACCCCATTTACTACCTTGTTTAATTTTTTTTTTTTAATTTTTTGATAATTTATTTTTATTACTCATAATCATTGTATATAGACAAATAATTTTAGTTATCATTTTCTATTAGAACTAATGAAATTTCATAAAATTTTTCATTTAAAGTATTAATTTTTTTTAAAAAAAATTAAAAACAAATTAAATGGGGTGGGGCATCCGTTACCCATCTCCACCCCGAACCCGTCCCGGAGCAAAATTCTCCGCCACGTCCTTGACCTAAATATCCGATTAAGCGGGTTATCTCCGCCATGTTCAGAGTGGGGCCCGCGAATATTAGGTTTGTCGGATTTTTTTATCATCCCTACAAGGTTTTGCTTGATTCAGACGTACATGATGGAATTGGTGAGTGGAAATTTAATTCACCCCACAAAGCCTTGATTTCAAATAATATATAGTTATCGGTTTTTGCGTGAGTAATTAGCACAAAACGTTTCTACCTTTTAAAGTTATGGTGCAAAACGTTCATATCTTTCATTTTTTTGGCATTTTCTTCTTTATTTTCACATTTCATTGTAGAAATCATCATTTTCATACAATTTCTCAATTAAAATGTAAAATGACAAATATACCCCACTATTTAAATAAAACAAAAAAAATAAAATTAAAGAACAAATTGCAATCACACTCCCAAACTTTTTTTAAAAAGTACAAATGCAAATAAATTATTAAAAGAATAATTAGCAAAAAAAAAAAACTTCTCTACCTTTCAATATTATTGCAAAACGTCCCTAACTTCGATTTTTTTGACATTTTCACATTACTGAAATCATCATATCATCCACTTCTCAATTAAAAGCTGTAAAATGACAAATATACTCACTTATTTAAATAAAACAAAAATAAAGAACAAATTGCAACTATACTCCCAATTTTTTTCCAAAAAAGTACAAATAAATAATTACAAATAAATAATTAAAAAACTATTTTTATTTATTTATTTGTACTTTTTTGGAAAAAATTGGGAGTATAGTTACAATTTGTTCTTTATTTTTGTTTTATTTAAAGAAGAGTGTGTATTTGTCATATTATAGCTTTTAATAGAGAAAATGGATGAAAATGATGATTTTCGTAATTAAATGTAAAAATAGGAGCGAAAATGTCAAAAAAATGAAAGATATGGACTCTTTGTATAATAATATTGAAAGATATGGACGTTTTGTGTAAATTACCATTTTAATAATTTATTTGGAATAATTTGCATTTTAATAAAAAGTTTGGGAGTATAATTGCAATTTGTTCTTTAGTTTTTATATTCTTTCCTTTTTTGTTTTATTTAAATAGTGATATATTTGTCATTTTACATTTTTTTTATTGAAAAATTTGACTAAAATGATGATTTCCATAATAAAAAAGTGAAAGTAGGGGTGAAAATGTTAAAAAACGAGAGGTAAGAATGCTTTGCATAATAACTTGAAAAATAAGTACGTTTTGTGCTAATTACTCAATAGATTGCTTCTCCAACTAGTCCAGGAATGATAGCGTTCATGATCCATGAGGCGATCATATCATCACATTGCTTCCATAGAACAAAGCTTTGATCTGCAATAGGAGGTTTCTTGGTAGAGCCACCGACAAATCCGGACTTGTGTTTATCACCAAGCGTCTTGAACGTGGCTCGGCTCCACATCATATAGTTATCTCCATTTAATGGAGAGGAAACCAATATGACTCCTGGATTGTCTGAAGGATGCAAGGTGAAAGCAAAATCTTTGCCATCCTTTGCATAATCCGTTTTATCAGACATAAGAACATATAACATAATTGTGAAGCAACAGGAAAACTTTCAAGGACTCAAGAGTGTCTGCTCCGATGCCATGGCAAGAAATAGGAGGGAAATAATTACACGACTTAAGGAATTGTACAATGAATCAATTAGAGACCTAATTTTAAATTGGGAAATAAAATTATATTAAGTAATATTCATGTATGTCTGATGTGAAGAAATGTAGAAGGAAATCAAGGAAAGAATCAATCTGATATCTTCAAAATGATCAACGTGTTGAATACTAGGTCTCCTATTTTCTTTCCTTCGTTCAAGCAAATTGTTTGAATCTAACACCATCAATGTGAATACTCGAGTTAAGCTTCAAGTTCAATGTTATGAGGACTGATTTGTCAGTTTAATGATTTTTGGAAGAAGGATATAAATTGGACTTGATATACAGATATTTGGATGGAGCGTTGGCGATCATAATTTGGTATATGGGAAGCAAAAAATTCAAGAATTTTGATAGGCATTAAGAACTTGAACTGTTGTCTTTCTCGTTTTTCCCACCTCTTGAATGGCCTCTAATTTGATTTAAATTTGTAGATTGGTTTATTTTCTCTTGGTGATTCAATTGCTTAATAAGAGATGATCTTACATTTTCTTCACCTCTGAGTCGTATAAAGTTAATAATGTTTTCTTTTGCCTAACCTGATGTTAATTAATTTTATCCGACTGATATCCCAGAAGTTTCTTGGTGTGTGGTTCAGGAAACCTTGAGAAAATGGAGATTTCTAATGTTATGGAATATGAGGCCATTGCAATGGAGAGTTCGTTTCATGACTATTATGGCTGGAGCTTGTCTCTTATATATACATGATGAGCATGCCTGAGTTGCTAAGATCTGGGACAATAATTTATAACGTGACAGTCAGTGGATTTTTCCATATAACATCTTACCATACTCTAAGATGCTACTCCGAATTTATTGCTAGAAACACTTGCTAACATATTTCATTGAACTGGTTTATAAATCAAGAAGCATTTCACTTGCAAAGCTGCTTGGTTTCCTTGTGTTGTTTGATTGATGCTACTCCTCAATACAGCTATTTCTCCCTTAATTGAGTTTCTTGTTCGTTAAGCGTGATGTTACCATGATATAGGAGAACTTGCGACAGCAAGAGCAGCATGATCAGCTGCTGGCACCATCATGGTTTGGAATTCTGTTCACCTTTTGTGTTTTGTTTTCTACCCATCTTGTGTTATTTGTAGTTGGTGGCATCTAGAGATTCAAATGGCCACTAGCTTTTCTAGAAATGCTATCGATTAATGCATGATTGTGGACATTACCCTTATGGAGTACTTCAACAGGTGAAGAGGTTGCCTCAACACTTCAACTTGTTTGATAATTAAAATGCTTTTTTCTTTGTAATGGCAAGTAGCAACAGTTTCCTGTATGCTCTTATATCTCATTGCTACTCTGCATTTATTTGACAATCATTTCCATGATTTATGATTTTTTAATCTGCGCTGCTTGTATTTATCGGCTGATTAAAGAAATTTTTGCTTTTAATTTAGGTTTTCAAAGATAAGGATATTGTTGTCACACAGCTAGTGGAAAGGGTGGAATGAGCTGGTTTCAAGGCAATTGCCCTTACAGTGGATACTCCAAGGCTGGAATTAAGAGGAGAGCTGACATCAAGAATAGGTGATCTGCGGAGAGATTAATTTCCTTTACCGAAGAAGACTAATCTCCTGTTTGAGCCCATTACTCGTGAAACTCATTTTTTTCTCAAATTCATTTGCAGTCACATATTCAACCAATAAAATAATTTACACATGAACTTAAAACGTTTTCCTATGTTTTAACCACACATTTTTCAAAAAAATCATGATTACAAAACTTATTTTTTTGCGAAAAATGGGGCTCAAACAAGGGTTAAATCTGGCGATTGAGATGCTTAATCAAATTTTCATTTAACTTCTAAATTTTCTCAGCATATCCATTTTCCCCTTCTGCTGGTTTTGTTCGTCCACTGAAGGTTTCTTTATGTTTAACAGATTTGCTTTTCCGTCCGACTTGTCTTTAAAGAAATTTGAGGTATTGGATCTTGCAACTGCAAAATAATCATCACGAAAAATCCCGTCACAAAAGGGCATTTCTATTGTAGCTAGAGAGTAGCTCAATTCCCCCCCATCATTCTTCTTCTCCGAGAAAATTAAGAAGTTCACAATCAGTAAACCTTCTCAAATGTCGTCAAGAGATCAGTGTTTTAGGCTTCTTGTGTATTCATGAGTATCTTCGGCCTTCTCATTATTGTTTAGCTAGAAACCTAACTTCTAGATTACAATATGAAAGACTTATTTCATTCACTCGTGCTAACAAGGACTATGTACCATAAGAAAAATAAAATGAAAAGTCACGATATTAAAAAGGATGTCATCCAGATCAGAGACTGCCAAACTAAAAAAATACACATTAGCCTCTAATCTCATAATATTAATCTATATCAAACTGAAATTGTTAATTGTGCCATAATTTAACATAAACTTGAGCATTTTACTGGGCTAACATGCACTCTTCATGCCAATAGAACTACGTAAATTGAAAGAAAATGAATTAAATAATATAGTTATCAAGAAGAAATACCTACACCAAGAAAATCTATGAAGGGAATGTCCTTTTTGTGGATGGATTGGTCTTCTTGTTTCAGCACTATACTTGTCCTTGCATTAGAAAATGGGCGTAAATTATCGGCATTAATACTCATTGAATTATCTCTATTCATTTTCCCATGTTTTCTACTGCCATCAGCAAAGGGATATGGAACAACCCTCTTGTAGTTTTGGGTGCCAAATGCTACAACTGAATCCCCAAAGGCACCAAATATCGACGAATTTAAATGTGCACCATTGGAGCTGGAATTGAATTGAGTACTGCCTTTTTTAATAAATAAATCAGCAGCAGAAGATGAGTTACTTTCCCTCGAACTTCTTGGAATCAAGAACGGCCATAAGGCGTGTGAATCAAAGGACGATGACACGGAGAAGACTTGATCTTTGTTTTGGCTTTGGTTAAGGTTTTAGGATGATAAAGGTTAGCTGATTTTGGGCATATATTCGTCCTGGGATCTTGGATTTTCTCGGCAAAAAACATAAGATGAGGATTTGGAGTCATGACTAATTTCTTGATGACTTCTTTTACCAGAAAGCTTGGATTGTTCTCTTTGTTTTCTGGCCATAATAACATGCCAATGATTTTTCACAGCATTGTCAGTTCTACCTGGAAAAAGCCGGGATATAAGAGCCCATTTATTGCCATGTACTCTATGTGCTGCAAGAAGCCTGACCTCTTCTTCTTCTGTAAATGGTCTCCTGTTTATTCTTGGATCAAGCTGATTAAACCATCTCAATCTGCAACTCTTGCCTGCAAATTAACTAACATATATAGGTCAAACACAATAGTACCTGTTTCTTCTTATACACTCAAATCAGCTCCCTAAACCTATATACAGTAACAATATTAGGACGGCTTAAATACATGTACGGAATACCATATATATTTATATCCTGAAGAATTTATAGCCGAAGGAATTATAAGTGTACACTATATATGATTAGGTCCAACACAATTAGCAATAGATCATCAGTTCAAAAGTTGGGTTATGGAACCTCAAACGAATAACCCTAATTTTTGAACAGTATAGCCAGAAATGATTTGGAAAATTAAAAAGAAACGTATATATAGAGTAACACAGGCGCGCGCGCATAGAAATTAACCTGATCTTCCTTGAAGTTTTTCAGCAATCGAATTCCAGTTTTGAGGCCCATATTGCTCCACGAGCTGCAGGAGTTTTTCATCTTCAGAAGGTCTCCAATGTCCTCGAGGACAAGTCCTTGGATCATCACTATAGCCTCCACTCGTTTCGTCCATCATCGTGCCTCAGGCCTCTATCAACTGAGAATCCTCAAATATTAGAAAGAAATCTCCAGCATAAGATAAGAAGAGCAGTACAGAAAAATAAGTAGATATGGAATTGAAAAGGTTGGTTTGGTTTTGGAGCTGCTACAAGATGGACTTTACCATGAGAAAAACTAAACCTACTTTCTTTTGATATTGACCCTTCATCATGAGTAAACTAAGGATATTTAATTTAATTACCTTTTGTAAAAATACCATGACTTCTTGAATTGCAATTATTCACTCAAACATCAAAATGATATTTGCATTTCTCTTCCTGTCATTCGTAGTGGTGCATGATGGGATTTTAAACTTATCAATTCAAATATTCAATTAATGTTACCTAATGTCTAATTCCTACGTTGAATTTCGCGTAATTAAGAAACTGACCAATTCGTTATAAATTATTCTGTTTCTGATCGTCAAAAAAGAATACAAGATAGAAAAAGGAAGAAGATGACGCATTTCCAAGTGAATTTAGAAGCTTAAAATTGGTTTTTTATTGCATTTACTGATTCATGTTTCTGCATGCAAATTCTAAAACTACTTTTTTCTTGAGAATAAACTTATCCTAATATTACTAAATTAATAGTAACATTTTACATGAAATAATCTTGAGGTCTCATGCTCATTTAAATATTTAACTGGATGAATAAAAATTCTGTTTCAGAACAAAAGCACCATGATCATCATGTATAATATAAATGTTCAGAAAACAATATGTACCTCAAATCGAAAGAGCAAAAGAGGATTGCAGCAAGGGAGGCTTCACAGAATAAAAATTAAAAATTCTATTTTTCTGTTCTGGAAAAGACAATTGTGAATAATGATAAGGTTTTAAAGCTTACAGGCAAAACATCAAGCAAGCAATTAGGATAATAAAAGCTTGTTATTCAATTAATGGTGATGGTTGGTAAGCTCTCTCCATATATATATGTGAATATTTATAATAATGGATTTCAAATTTAGAGTACATAAGGTAATATAATATATATTACTGATTGTTGAAAAGAGAGAAGAAATTTGGGTATAGTATTGGAATTGGTTAGCAGATTAATTGTACCACACTTTTTCTACTCCAATTTCTTCACAAACCCTGTTTGTTTTTCCTTCTCCATTTAGTTTAATAAGATTGAAAGAAGGTTCCAATTGTAGGTAGTAGTGTATCTGAGTCAAAACTCTACTGGCTCTGTATTTGGAAGATGTCTGTCAAATCACTTCATCTAATAGTTCAATCGTTAGAAAATGAACACATTTATTTATTCGATTTTCGATAAAATCTATCGTACGTTTATTAACTAAAAGTTTGTTATGTTCACAATTTTCATAAATAGATAGTCAGAAAATATATATTCAAGATCGTTAGCTTGCTAACTTTGATTAAGTGTTGGCCAATAAATAATTAATGCTTAGATTATTCAAATTTTCCATGATGCCCAAATGTATGCAGTTTCCATGCAGATGGCAGGTCAAATACAAACGTTGAAAGATTTTATGCAATGAATATATAAAATTGATTTCTTAACTGATCGATTATTCCACACTCCAAGAAATTAAACATTTCATCTAAATATGTTAATTTAAATATAGTTTATCCATAGTCATCATTCATTTATCAACTATACAAGATGTCTCCAATAGTTGGTGTAAAATCAGTGTCCATCCCTGTTGATGTGCTTGTTAAATCATCAGAGAAATTATAATTAATATAATTATGAGAATTTGTTCCAAAATTTATATGGAGAACATAAATTTATATAAAAAAAATTAATCGTTTAGAGACATAAAATAATTCATACTGCATTAGTAAATTATTGTTTATTTTTTAAAATTTTGATAATTATTATTATATTCACGCAGTCTGAATAGCAATATGCAGATTGTTATTATGAACTAAAGAAAGTAGGAGTGGAAAAGTTCCGCTTGAATATGATCGAATTGGACTCGAACCGAATCGAGCGTTTCAATTTTATCCTTCTTAAATTAAATTGAGTAATGTGTATTAGAACCAACAATCGACGGGTATGATTTAGTTCTCGGCTCTAGATCGAGAACAATGTTACCAAAGCTCTCGATTTTTTTTATAATCAAACTCGTCGAATTATTTCACTTTTTTTTCTGAAAAAACAAAATCGCATATATTCCTGCTATTATTTCCTTACCTGATCATTTGTATACATTTGCGAATGAATTTCATTAAATAACTTGTATTTGTGTTTTTACATTTGGACTATGTTTGTTACCTTGTAAAGTTCACCCGATCGTTCTATTTAAAAGATATAATTCTTGACTAGATTAGGTTCTCTTTTGAGTCGGACCATGCACGCCCCTAAAAAAGCTCCAATGAAACAGATGAACTGACAGAAGACCTTAAAAAAGGAGAATAAGAGAAAGAAACTAAAGTCATGAATAGAACAAGCTTCAATCAATAGAAGATGCAAACGACGCTTAGGATTCTAAAATGCAGGGATCAAAACAAACTGCAAATAACCTGCACCTGGTGAAATTTTTTGTTGTGCATGTTCAAATCTAAGAATATAATGTGTCCACTCTTGACCACTTACTTTGAAGAGCATTCGATAGTATGTGATTAAAAATTATATACGTGTTAGACATTTGATCAAAAATAAAACTGATCGTGGCTAATATATGTACACATATATATGTTCACCACGCCGGAGCCGAACACGACTCACAACCATGAATAGAAAGGTTTGGAATAGCTTTCAATTACTTGCAAAGCTAAAAATAGATGTTCATATATATTTCTCCAAGTGTCTCTATAATGAAAACTATAATATACCTTTTATCTCACCTTCCCAAGAAACCAATTTAAGCAACACACAACGAACACTGATAAACCTCACCAAACAACATTTGACTTCTCCCATCAAACCCTATTCTTTATATAATTATTTCTACATGTAAATCCCAACTCATTTATTGCATTGCAAAATATTGGAAAACTTGCAAACTGCCTTTCTAGATATTCCCCATTTTTGTCATATCTCAATTAATGATGTTACAGTACAGTTGCTTGTGATGTTAGATTCATTAATTTCTGTAAAATGCTTTCGTAGATCACAACACTAAGCTACAAGGACAATAGTTTAATACCTATCGAACTGTCAACATTATACAATGTTATGAAATAGAACGTGAGAACTAAAATGCAGCTAAAATAAAATTAAGGAAAAACTGAAAATAAATGAACGCAAGAATTTTACATGGAAAAACTCCAATTTAATTTGGGGTAAATATCACGGAGGAAAAGTATGGAACGATTTCACTATCGTAAGATGATGCGAACCCATGTAACAATGGTAGTTACGAAACCCACACAAGATTGATTCAACCTAAGAAAGCCAAGAAATCGACGTTTAAGCTCGATTAAAAAATATTGAATCAAGGAACCAGCACAATTATCGACAATATGTTGACCTCATGATTACAAGACTCAATAATCTCACTCGATTTGTTTGAACGGCACAAGAAATAATCTTAATAAGTTCACAATTAATTCAATGAAGAACTAGAAGAAAGTAATATGTCTTGCGATAATATCTCTCAAATTGTGTATTTTTCAATGAATAGAACGAATCTTACTTATATTGAACTCATAAAACCTATTTAAAAACGCAATTAAATCTCAAAAGATATAAAAAATATATATATATCATATAAGAGTTTTAACTAAAATAGAAAATTATGCGAAATTTGAAAAATTCATGGCCGGATTTATACTATGTGGCCGCATAGTGTAAATCTATGTGGTTGCATAGATCAACTGAAATCGTCTACTAGGTTTCGGTAAGGGACATGCAACTGCATGCCAGTGTAAATCTATGCGGTCGCATAGATTAACTGAAATCGTCTATTGGGTTTCGGTAAGGGATGTGCAACCGCATGCCTTGAACAACTATGTTGTTCCTTCCATCTTCGCCGTCCATTGTTTGAATCAAGTTTCCTTCCATCTTTGTCGTCCATTGTTTGAATCAAGTTTCGCCACATCGTTTCATCTCTCATGCCCAACATGAAACTTGTCCATTTGCTCGTCGTGGTCAATGTTTCGTCCACCGAGGTTTGAACAAGTAGTCTTATTGCTTTCTTGACCTACTTCACTCGCGATCTAGTCATTGGCCATTCAATGATTAATGGATCCTTGCTCGCATATCATGGATCACATCATAAGAGAACTATAACACCCTTCTTTCTAAATACAACAACAATAATTATTCTCAACAACCTTTCTTTCTAAATACAATAATAATAATTATTATTCTCTCTTGTAATAGAAAAACCTAAAGTAGAAAATATCTTGTATTTAGAGTCTTTTGGAGATGTTAGCAAACGTATAATATATTTATTTGAATTTAATCAATAAAGTTTATACAAAAATAATTGATGGAAATATAAGTTAGAAAAAGCCCATAATGGAGTGATCTATATACTATTCCTAATCCAAGTACCAGAATTGCATTACTATTGATGAAAATGTATTCCTCTAGTCAAGTAATTAAGTTGCTTGTCTAGTTAGAAGAAAATTCTTAGGCAACCAATCTAATTAAAATGCTTTTTGAAACGTGTCATGCTCCACAAATAATCAAATCTTAAATAAAGTAATCCATAATTAAGATTACTTTAAGATTATAATTAGACATTTTCTAGCTAAAACTTAGTTAAAAGTAAAATCAACACTATTAATTCTTTGCTAAAATAAAATGTTTCAATTCCTAACCAAGTACAAGTTAGTTGCCATTTTGTGTGTGTCTATATATATATAGGATTAAGATAGTGACAGTTTAGCTAATTTTTTTGATATTTTGGACAATCGTCCTAAGTGACATTTTGACTGAGCAAAGCAGGTTTCAAACATTGTACAAGTAATGTGTGAATTCATAAGGATTTTGATTGACATTTGTTAGTTTAAGTTGGCAAGAAACTGTCCAAAGTCAATCAAATTAAATCTATATGCT